GATACGCACTACCCAATATAGCGACACGTAACCCTAAAGCTATATTCCTAGTTTTTCATTCTTTTGCGTCCCAGAGCAATACATTACTTTGGTTTCGAGCTCAAGCTCAACATTTAAAGTCACAGAGCTCAACGCTGAAGATGTTTTAGACTTTAAAAAATGGTGGCCAATTATATATCGTACGGAAAGAGTTCCAAAAGAAGAAAAAAAAAATCATTCGCCCTTGCGGCATACATATGTATGTATGTATATGAGTTTTCGCTATGATTCATATAAAAAAGTAGCTGTCACAGCCGAGGAATTTATTGATGGACTCATTAAGGATTCATCCATACTAATAAAAAACTCACAACTTCTGTGTCACTTGCGCTTTTCGTATTCGAGTCTAAAATAAATGAAAACCGGTAGAAAATTTTGTCTTCGTTTATTAAAAGGTTGCCCTGAAAACCAGATGGTTACTTAAAACGACAATATTATGAAATACGAGAGCCAGACAAGGACAAGACAAGACAATACAAGGGAAAAACATGCCCTTTTACAGGGTTGAGTCTAAACATCAAACACTTATTGCATCGTGGAAGGTCATTTCCGTGAATGCGGGCGCCCGAATATATCTGAAGTATTTGTGATGAGTTTTTTGTTTATGAGCTCGTGGTCCATATTGTAATGTTGTTCAACGACAAGGGATGAAATGATAAATATTAGCAGTAAGCAATATAGAGATCGGTGTAAATTACGGAACCTGCCTGAATATATTTCGGCAAAAAAGTCGAGAAAAGGGCGGCTAGTACTACAGGGCCTAGGGCGGCCAAGACTGTAAATCCGCCACTGATTATCTTACATGCATGCATACATACTCACATATGTAAGTATACACACATGTGAATGTCAGAACAATTTCGTTAACATTACGCGTGCAGCCACTGGTAAACACCTGCAATAGAGGAAGTTGAAAGCTTTCATGCGCTCCATGCAAATGGGCGCAAAAGTGAAATAGCCGTGGGCCATGGTTATGGTTATTGGATAACCACANACTCACAACTTCTGTGTCACTTGCGCTTTTCGTATTCGAGTCTAAAATAAATGAAAACCGGTAGAAAATTTTGTCTTCGTTTATTAAAAGGTTGCCCTGAAAACCAGATGGTTACTTAAAACGACAATATTATGAAATACGAGAGCCAGACAAGGACAAGACAAGACAATACAAGGGAAAAACATGCCCTTTTACAGGGTTGAGTCTAAACATCAAACACTTATTGCATCGTGGAAGGTCATTTCCGTGAATGCGGGCGCCCGAATATATCTGAAGTATTTGTGATGAGTTTTTTGTTTATGAGCTCGTGGTCCATATTGTAATGTTGTTCAACGACAAGGGATGAAATGATAAATATTAGCAGTAAGCAATATAGAGATCGGTGTAAATTACGGAACCTGCCTGAATATATTTCGGCAAAAAAGTCGAGAAAAGGGCGGCTAGTACTACAGGGCCTAGGGCGGCCAAGACTGTAAATCCGCCACTGATTATCTTACATGCATGCATACATACTCACATATGTAAGTATACACACATGTGAATGTCAGAACAATTTCGTTAACATTACGCGTGCAGCCACTGGTAAACACCTGCAATAGAGGAAGTTGAAAGTTTTCATGCGCTCCATGCAAACGGGCGCAAAAGTGAAATAGCCGTGGGCTATGGTTATGGTTATTGGATAACCACATATGTATGTATGTATGTATGTCACAAATCAGTAGATACATATCTTGGATGCAAATATATGACAGTTAGCGGCAGCAGTGGCGGATGTGGTTTGACTGAAATGAAATGCGTGCCTGTGCGCCTATTTGCATACTACACTTTTTGAAAAGCGAGCGAGTATGGGCACATATGGTTTGGTTATTTTAAGCTATTCCGCGTATTTGCCATTCGTTAGAGGCTTCTATTGCATTTCCAGCTAGTAATTATTCCAAGTGGATAAATGAGACTTTTTTGCTGGCGAATGGTGTGGATGAAGTTTTGGTGTATAGCAATTGTAGTGTCAGATGTATGTGCTTTCGAATACATATTATGGATAAAATGCGAAGGCTAATTCCGTAGGCACCTGCATATATCCAAATACATACATATATGTACATTAGGGTATGGTAATTTAATTTCGAAAAAAGTGTATGGCTTATTCGAATTCTACGTGCGATTCTAAGCAAAAATGGTGAACAAACTAATATATACATACATACCAAAACTTACGTTTGACCCACCCATTTTTTAAAAGAAAATAATTGTATTATAATTTTTCTGAACGAAATTAATTGCTAATTTTCAAAATTTAGTGTTATCTTCATATATAAGAAACTACTTTACAAACCCAAGAAAAAAAAAAAAAAACGTGTATACCATTTTTTGGTATAATGAAAAATAAATTTAGACCAAAAAAAATTACAATAAATTGCTTTTTCTTTTGAAAATTTGAAAATTTGAAAATTCGTAAAGTGGATAGTACATATATTAAATGTAACAATAACAATAACGCAAATATAGTTATCGGTAACAATCGATAAATATTTCGCCAAAGATATCGGAAAATATACCGACAACGATTATGCCAAAAACGTGTATTGATAGTAATATAAATAAATTTAGCATTTAATAATACTCAGAGTAAATTAGTACTTGTATATTAATATCGGTAAATATTGCATGCATGTTGATATCGCAATCGATTAATACTCACAAATACAGTATTTACATATAACGAAAAAAATCGGCAAATGCATCGTATATGTATATAAAATGGGTTTGCTTTTTAAATAACAATACAAACAATAATATCGACAAATATTTTGACAGTGATACGTATCATTTTATCGATAAATGCGTCAAAAATATATCAATTAATAAATTTTACTGTAAAATCGCTACTAAATCGATAACTGCAGAAAAGTTTAGATAGTCTTTCCATTGTTTTAAAACTTTATCGATAAATGCGTATTAAATATCTACTCAAACTCGAAAATAATAAAATCAAAACTTTTTTGATAATATCAATAAATATATCAAAAATAAAATCGATAAATTTTTTGACAGTGATATCGATAAACTTAGCGATATATGCGCCGATTTATATAATCTGAAAAAGATTATCATGATTTTACCTATAATCTTATTTTGCAAACTCGTTACCAGTTGAAGTTTCATTAGAAAAATAGATAAAAAAAAATCGATGAATATTGAATATAGTGGCACACTCGGAAATTATACCGATAAATACTTCGATGATCACAAAACAAAACCGTTAAATAGACTGCATAACTTTATCGATAAACGCTTAGATAAAAATGCTGTAATTTGATAACGACAGCTATTACTAAAGAAGAAATAGGTAATCGGTAAACATATCGATAACAGAAACTTTGTAAGTTTGTATATCCGAAACAATTTCAAAGACATTATTGATAAATGTTTTTACAATAAGGGGGGAAACTACACCTATAACAACCAATATATATACATACATACATATGTATGTATATATTTAATCTCTATTAAGCAATAAAGTTATATAAAAGCGATTAAATGTTTATCGATAATTTTATAAAGTTATAGGATACAATTATTTCTCTGCTTAAATTTGTGTAACAGATTCCTTTTTTAAAGCATAGGTTATATAAAAAAAAGCTTATAAAAAACGAACATCGTTAAATACTTCGTCGACTACGTCTATAAAAACATTGGGTACTCTTTAGTACGTTGCCTAACTATTTCGAGGTATTGCGTTCAAAGGGGTGATCCGATCCAAAAAAAACTTACGCACACTTGTAGTAAAGGGTCTACAGATTATTTTAACACCCACCTTTGTAATTTCTGGTCACTAATTTATTTACAAATTGGGTTTGAAATATGCCCTTTCATCAATCCTATTCTCCTTAAGCAGCCACTTCACCAATATATTTTTATATTCCCCTTCACTTTACACTTTACTCGATTAGTTATAACTTTCTTTATGACTTTAATATTAACCAATTAATCACAATTCATTAAATAAAAACACCTTCAAAATAACGCGTCTGACTTTGGGTGCATATGCAAATTAAATGGCGGTGTTCAGCTGTCAAACTCCAAAATATGCGAAAGAATGAGAGACAAAAGAAGATAGGCTATAACCCAGTAAGCATTAAAAATATACAAAGATGTTCTCTGCAAAAGGTGTTTAGCTCCTTTTCTTCGCAAAACAGAAAGAGAATTCTACTTTGTGAGGGTTATAATCCCTAAGAGCGGCCAAAGACCGCCTACGCAGAAAGGTGTTCTCTGCGAAAGATGTTCAGCCCGCCTTTTTTCGCCTGATAACCACCTTGGGATAATTTATTTTATTTAAAAACCCCACAGATTCTGTTAGTTGGGTTATATTCCACTTCAAACTGCTCAATTTCCTAAAGATTTCCCATTTAGGATTTTCTTATTTAAATTAATTTCAAATTTTTTAAAATAAAAATTTATCCAAGAAAAACGTATTCGCATGCAACACCCTGCAACATACACTTATTTTCAACCGAATTTGCAGGCACACTTTGACTAGCACTGTAATGTGAGATTTTATCGCATGCGACAAAAGGGTAAAAAGAAAAATTTTGCGGCTGGCAGTACTTTTTTACATTCCACAACGCACGGTTGCACGAAGCATTTTTCTGGTTAGCAAAGGAAAACAACAAAAAATTAGTTGGTATTCAAACGTCGTGGTGTGTGGATATTTTTTTCGCGTTTATTCTGTGTGTAATCAAATTCGTTGCGCCAAACGGAGAAAAACTTGTGACCAAGCCTACTGCCGGCTAAAATTTTGCAATTTTAATAAATTGGTTATTTAATTACCTAACTCAAAAAAACAAAAACATACGACAAATAGGAAGCAGCAAAGCGTGCAAAAGCGAATGCATTTGTGCTAACANACGAAGCATTTTTCTGGTTAGCAAAGGAAAACAACAAAAAATTAGTTGGTTTTCAAACGTCGTGGTGTGCGGATATTTTTTTCGCGTTTATTCTGTGTGTAATCAAATTCGTTCCGCCAAACGGAGAAAAACTTGTGACCAAGCCTATTGCCGGCTAAAATTTTGCAATTTTAATAAATTGGTTATTTAATTACCTAACTCATATAAAACGAAAACATACGACAAATAGGAAGCAGCAAAGGGTGCAAAAGCGAATGCATTTGTGCTAACCGCCAGCGCACGCAAATGTTTGTAGGTATGTGAGCGCTTGGAAAATACATAAAATATGTAAATTACAAACGCTAATATATGTATTTGAGTGCTAATAAAATATTTGTGTACATGTGTGTAAGAAAGTTTAACGGAATATAATACATATGTATATCGTTTGCAAAAATTAACATTTCACAAGCAAAACTTTAAAATATTTAGTTGCTTTTTACTAATTTGCCAGCGAATGGAAATAAAGCAAAAGAAAAAGCGCAAAAGTGACAGGGAAAAAAAGTGCTATGTATTTGCGATTTTGCTTTGAAGTTTGAGTGAATGGAGTGAGTGGCGAGTTGGTGAACAAGAAAACAAAGCAAAGTGTATACATACGTTTGTGTGTATGTGCACACCGTCTGCTGGAATTACCCAGTCAGCAAATTAATAAGTTGTACGCGAAAGCAATTCGCTTACCACACACAAACATTTGCACATATAAATGTATGCAAAATATTTGGCTAAAATGCAACAACTCAAAAATCGAATATGTAATCGAAGATGTTAACTATTAAATTTAAAAAATACAAATTTGAATTCGTTTGTACACACAACATTTTTTTTATCTGTCCATACGAATACTAGTGTGAAGTGCAAAACGCAAAAAACCGGTTCGACCACTTCAGCTAGCAAGTCAACCAACAATTCCCAGCAGTCGCTGTGCTTTGGACAAACGGGTGGTCGCACAAATGGACGGACATTTCAATTGGCTGATTGCTAGATTCGTCGTCGTTGCCCATTGTAGCCCTAAATTGAGCAAAAGTGAATGGCATAAAAGCAAACAAAAAACAGAAAACACCCAGTAAACAATGTAAAAGTAGAAATTCAAATAGGCAACAGTGCAAGTGGAAAAGCAAATACACAAAATCCAGAAATCAGCAATAAAGAAGTGTGTTTGTCGAGTATAGTTGTGTACATATTTTCCAATTCGCCGCCATTGCGCTGTTCATTACTTTGCGCCGCCGCAGCCATAGTTGTGCGTTTGAATCGCTTTTTTGTCTGCACTTTATTAGTTGTGTTTATTTTTGTTTTGTGTCTGGTCAAAGAATGCATTTAGTAAGCCGGCGTAGACGTGCGTGCATTTTAAAATTTTGTGCTACTTGTATTTTGGTAATATCCAAACTGCATATCCATTTGTGCGCATCCAATTTGTTTTTGGTGTATGTATGTATTTTTTCAGCGTGTCTACCTGTCTGGCACTAGAACTATATACTATGTAATAGTGGTGGCAGGTGGTAGACGCTGCGTTGAAATGGAGAAGTTGTAAAATATCTGGTGTACAAATTACAATCGAACATCAGACATTCACCAGATATAAAATTCTGTGCTGCAAATGCTGAATAAGCACAAGTGTTTTCAATTACAAAATATTTGTGTTCGAATTTATGAACTAATAAAAAAAATGGCAATAAGAAAAAAGTGCGCTTTTAAAGTTTATTTCAACTGTATGCCGAAAATTGTTAACTTGGGCTTATAGAGCAATAACATTTCGTGTTGCGCTTATCTTATCAAGTGTTTTTTTTTTCGTATGTTTCGGTATACTGTTATCGCCTATGCTGATAACTGATAACGAGCATACAATACGTACAAAAGTACAGTTTTTCAATTACCGCATGCCACAAAACTGAGATAAAACTTTCCACATATTTCAATCATAGTACATACTAAGTAATGAAATTCTTTTAATTTGGTGCTGTTCAAAGTATTTTTATGCTAAAATTTTTTAAACTGTCATTATATGTACATAGGTATGTATATCGCGGCGACTTAAAAAATATTTATGAAAAATTGATCATTTTGAGTGTATGGAAAACTTAAATAAAAACTTGGCTTATGTCGATCTTCCACTCAGCCGTCGATATTAAACTTTTTTGTGTACGTTTTAGTTATTTATCACCGACCTTTTATAAAGTTTGGACTATGGTTTTGCTAGTAGCCAACTAACTAAATATAACAGAAAGAAGAATTGTGAGTAGAGAAGAGTGAGGTTATAATCCCTAAGCGCGGCCGAAGGCCGCCTAGGCAGAAAAAAGTTCTGCACCACTTCTCCGGCAATACATGACGGTGACTAATTTTGCTGCAATGGCTAATTTTTGCTTTAATTCCAAAGTCAGTTCCAAGCGCTTAAATTTACGATGCTTTGTTGGATTTGATATTTTACTTTTCACTAAGCAAGTCTAGACGTTGTGAGCCCGCTTTTATTGCGATTACATACTTACTTATTCTCATATCATTTCGTTCGTAATTTGCCTCCTTGGCCCTAAAAAGACGTCCATAAACCTAGCTGACCCAAGTCGCCAAAAATCAATAAAAATTAGCTAGGAATTAGGTGTCTTTTAGGTG